TGAGCCCGTGCCGGCGGGCCCGGCGACAGACTTCCAGGGGGGCCATGGCCGTGCTGGCGTGGAAGTTCCCGCGCACCCGGCTGCCTGTGGGCGCCAGTGCCCTCTGCGTGGTGGTCCTCTGTTGGCTCTACGTCTTCCCTGTCTACCGGCTGCCCGACGAGAAGGAGATCGTGCAGGGGGTGCTGCAGCAGGGCACAGCGTGGAGGAGGAACCAGACGGCCGCCCGGCTCTTCAGGTACTCGCTGCCCTTCCCCTCCGGCGTCCTTTCTGCCCCGCGCTGGACCGGGTCTCGGCCGGGACGGCCTCGCAGTGCGGTGTCTGCGTCTGGCTTGTTTGTCCCGCTGTCCATTGTGACTTCCCCGACCTGGACCCCTTCCCATGCCTTTCCATTCGGAGAGATGTGCAGACACCTGCTTGACGCAGGTGAAGACTGAGCTGGGTCCTCCCAAGCCTCATTTGCCTTGAACAATCTGAGGATGAGAAGGGTGGGCAGGAAGACCCAGACTAACTTAGTCTCTCGCACTTAATAAGAATTTATTTCTTGGGCTCTGCAGATTGATGCTAAAGAGAGCTAAAGGACGCGGCTTCCCGAGAAAGGTGAGCAGTTAGTAACATAAATCATCAAAGAGGGCCTGAGGGGCAGACCTTGGGCAGTGAGGACACAGGGACACCCAGCCAGGTCCCTCCTGCTTTGCACACTGGGTCTAGCGCAGCTAGATAGGTCGGACTGACGTCTTACCTAGAGCCAGATGCTGCAGTTTGTACGTTGAAATCGCAACAACTTTCTAATAACAGAATTTTTTTTTCCCCTCTTCCCGATCACCAACTCTTTGGAAGGATGAGTTACCCGCCCAAGGTCATCTACCTTTGAAGTTGGGTGCTGGAATTTTCACCACTTAAAAGCTTCCTGTTCTTTTTGTTGGCTTAAACTTGTGGATGCTTCTGGAAGGTGGGAGTTGTCCTTCAGGGAGAGACTTGAAATCAGAAAAGAAACAAAAAACAAACCTAGGTTGGATATCAGAACCCTGAAGATCATGGAGAGGCTGCAGTGTCCCTTTGCTAGGGGGAGGGGACTGTTAGTTCCAGGAGCCAGGGGTTGGCAGGTGTTGGAAGATCTGTAGAGCTGCTTTTCTTTCCTCAAAGTACAGTGTCCCTTTCACCTTCGTTCCTGGGGCTGAAGATGCTGTCGTTGGCTTTTCTGTGAGTAGAGGGTCTGGCTAAGGAGGGTTTTGCTCTGCTGTTTAGAAGATCCTCGGGTCAATGTGTGGCAGGTGAGAGCCAACTTAAGCGCTTTCACTGCTGTATTTACAAATGTCCACAAGCATCTATACATTTAAAAAAAAAACTTCTGAATATATATTTCCCCTCCCCTTCCCAGGCCTGCTGTTGGAAAGAAGGTCACAGAGATGATATAGCTGGTTCTCTTGGAGGAAGGCAGCAACATTTTCCTTAAAGCTGCAGAGGGGAGATTTTTTTCCTCTTTCTTTTTTTTATAACGGCACCATCACTAAGTTTAAAAATAACCCAGCCCCCTAACAGTACATAAAGATTTGTCATCTTTTGCCTGGCAACATTGATTGCTGGACTCGAAAGAAAGCGCTTTTATTTCAAGTAATATATGGAAATCAGTTAAGAACTTCCCATTGGCTTGCAATGAAAGACTCGCTTTTTTTGTATGGGAGAATAAATAATGAAGCTCTGTTAGAGAATAGATTTGTTTGTAAGAGGACACAATTGAGTGTAAGAATACTTCATGTTCTGAGCGACACAGATTGATTGTTGCCGGGATGGATTTGTCCCTTGCTCTCCACAGCCTGAGGTAGTCTTTAGTATGTGTAGCTGTCCTTTAGTCTTCGCTATGCATCTACGTGCAAGGAATGACTTACTGAAACCCATACACCATAAAGGGTACTCGAACACACCCTGCAAAGTTAGTGTCTGTGAACTGCGTGAAGGGCACCACTGCTTATCGAGCTAAGGACAAGCTTCAGATTAGAAGACTCAGTTTGTACATTGTCTGTGCCGGGAACAGATAAACAGCATGATATCTCTGGCAACTTACTCTATTGCTTTGATGCTTAGCTTATTTATAACAAAAGGATGGTAATGTCTCCCATGTAGGACTGTTATAAGGTTTAAGTAATAATAGTAATAATAGAAATAATGATGATGATAAAAAACTAATACATTGCACCCCCCAATGTTTGTTTTATGATTGTTATAGTTGTAATTTTCTGTATATGGTACAATTTAAATAAGGACATTGGGCCAGCCCATAAGAATTTGGAATGTTTCTCCTGCAAGATTGATAGAAGAAACATTATTATTATAGAAGAAACATTATTTGTCCATGCCCACCTCTTCACTCACTTTGCTTAAGCTAATAACCAGAGAGAGGAGTTTGGAAAAAATCAAGCTGCACATTTGTTAAGTGAAAAGAATATTTGTATTACTTTGCACATTTAGTAAAATGCATTTTTTTTAACACGTGGATTATTAGCATCTGAGTACAAGGGTATATTAGGTCAGCCTGAAACCTTATTGTGCCCAGGAGTCACAGTTCTGCCAAGAAAGTATCTGTGTTTCTGCAGCTTGAAGTGTCTGGTCAAGACAAACATTTGCACATATGTGTACGGCAATGTGTATTTCTGCATGGAGGTGGATGCAGGTTTATTTAGAAAGAGTGAAATGCTGTCATCTGCATGTACACATATACAGGCATATGCTTACATCCAAGTATTTGCCGTTAGTCACTTAAGCAGTATTTACTGAGTGGCTACTAACTTCCTGCCACGTGTGAGTTAAGGCCAGGAGGGTAAGGGTGTATAGCATGGAAAATTGTCTCCTCTGAGAAAGCTTACTTTTTGCTAGGGAATGACTGACAACCAAAAGGAAAACAAATAATCATTATTTGCTGTACTTTTCAATGTTATGAAGAGAAAGAGAGTATTTCATTACGTTTACAAGCACCAGCATTTCAGACTTTATTTTGTCTTGTTTTATTTTATTTTATTGTTTTGCAGTGCTGGGGATTGGACCTAGGGCCTCAACCATGCAGACACGCACTCTGCCACTGAGCTGTACATTCTCAGCCCACTTAGATTTTATTTTACCGTGTGTGGCTCTATTTATTTTCAGGATTTTCATCTTCTCTCAGCTCAGAACCATAGAAGTCAACCTGAGTACTTGCTTCTCAGATGGGGGAACTTGGACAAACTGTGTAGGAGACGACTGTGAGAAGGTGACAGAGCTGCAGAGGGCTTGAACTCAATGGAAAGTTTCCCTGGCAATCATACGGTGATAGAGGAAGTAAAGAAATCAATTGATCTTAGCGTGGGAGCTTTCTGAACTCTTGTTGCTTTGGATCCAGTAGTTAGGGGGTTTGAGAAATAACAAACCAAAGCAGCATTTGTCTTTTCCATCATTTTTTTCATTTGCTCCTCCAAAAAGCTTTGGATTTATGTGCAAGGCTGTATGTATATTCTTGGCACCTGACATGCTAACAACAACACCAGCAATAGATTACTGGGTGCTTCCTGTCTGCCTGGCACAATAAGTGTTCTATATATGGATTGCCACTTTTAATCCTCAGAGGAACTTTGCATTTTATCCACATTTATAAAAATAAACATGCCTTTGTCCCTGACATCAAAGGATTTACTATAATCCCATGGGAGGGGAAGAGTAGACATATAAAAATATATTTACCTTGGGCCCTAGAAAGACAGTGTGGCAGTGGCAGGTTTAGAAAACAATCATGGTGTGGTTGGATTTATGGTTGATCTCTTTCTAGTTGTGCAGCCATTTGTGAGTTCAATCTGCCAAGCCTCAGTTTCCCCATTTGTGAAATGACAGTTCTAGTAGTACATATCTCACAGTACCGATTGCCTGAGACATCCAGAAAGCACCTATAATGAAAATAAAGCGCCACATCTCTGTTTCACTCATGGTCATTATAATAAAAATATGCGCCAAGGTTTGGGGAAGGTCACAGAACGTGGTGATTCCACTGGCAGAGAAGAAATAAGATTTCAGAAGGGAGATGGCACTTGCTGTAAGCCATACTATAGGGGTAAAAGGAACCTTTTTATATTATCGATAGGAGTGTGACTTAGTACACCTACTGTGGAAGTCAATATGGAGATTCCTTAAAAACTAAAAACAGGACTTCCATTCAACCCAGCTCTTCCCCTTCTAGGTACCTTCCTGAAAGAGTTAAAGACATCATATTACAGTGGTACATGCACACTTGGGTTTACAGCCACACAATTCACACCAGCTAACTCTTGAAAGGGGCCTATATGTCCACTGACAGGTGAATGGATAAAGAAAATGTGGTGTTTATCTGTGTTGGAGTACCTTCTGCCACAGAGAAGGATAAACTCGAGTCATTTGTGGGAAGATGGATGCACCCTGAGGCCATGATGTTCAGTGAAATAAATCAGATGCACGAGCTTAACTATCACATCGTTTCTCTTATGTGAGAAACCAGAAATATAAATAAAGAATAAAATGAAAGATAAGAAATGAGACAGATTTTTTTCAGATGGGAAAGGACCTAAGAGATGCAGGGAAGTGGAAGGGTAGGAAGGGAAAGGGGAGGAAAAAAGGAATTATAATGTGTTCCATACATGCATCAACTCCTGATGTATTAATAAAAAATAAAAGTTGAGAAAAAAGATGGGGTAGTGTTAAGAGGTGAGGACAGAAGAACGTTACAGGCAGAGACAGCAGAAACAGTGAAGCCAGGGGGTTTGGCAGTGCTTGGCGTGTCCTTGGGTTGGAAAGTTATCGAGTCATCCACGGAGTCCTTGGTAGAAAGGTAGGCTGGGAGCTAACAGGAAGCCACGTCTCAGTCTTTGAATGTGTCTGAGGCGGGGCTCCCAAGGAATGGACAAACACCAGCCGTCACAGGGTACGGCCCCCAGCAGGGGTGGCACAGTGCTGTTACCAGTGGGTTTGATGGCAAGCTCGGGGTAATACAGCGAAGTGGTTGTTCTGAAGATTTTGTCTACTTACTAACTTTGTGATGATGACTTGAACCAGTCTCGTCTCTTTTGCTTTCCAAATCCTGAACAAGCCGCTGATCTGGGCAGTTCTACTTTTACGTGGCTTTTTCTTTTCCTTACTTTTGAATCTGTGACTCTTTAAAGATTCAGGCATGCACAGTTGCCTTGGTGGCCACAGATGGACACTGGGACAGGAGGGATGACAGGGAGGTACAGCCATCCCTGT